CTAGGTGGGACTTGAACTTGGGTGTCTTGGCTCAGCAGTAGGCATTCTACCATTGTGCCACAAAAGCCCATGATGAGAGTTTTATATTCTCTAACCAGACTGTTCAGGGATGTTATTAGACACATTTGGAGGAGGTGGGTCTTGAACACAGGCCTCCTGGTGCAGAGGTGACGACGTTACCACTGTACACCAAGGGCGAGTTTCTTCTAGATATTTTCCAATCAACCTGTCCAAAGTTGTTATGAAAGTGAGTGTCTTAAAAACTATTTTCTAATCAACCTATTCAGAGATGTTATTACACACGTCTGGAGCAAGTGGGACTTGAACCCAGGCCTCCTGGCTGAGGTAGGTATACAACCACTGTACCACAAGACCCCCAAGGTGAGTGTCTTAGATTGAATTTGTTTAATGGAATCAGCTGAGATCCTTTTTTCTCACCTTGCACAAAAGTGCCTTGAGGTGTACTGTTTCCGTTTTCCCAGAAGTTGGGATTGCTAGAAACTTCCATTTGGCATTTTTAAAGGATTCTACCTCCATTAGTTAATGTTGAAAATTGCAGTATTCTCTGAAAATTTTATTATTATGCTACATTTTAAGAAGTTTACTTGAGAGATTCAAATAGGGTAGTTCTGGTTAGTCCAAAATGCATGTCACTGATGTGCAGCAACAAGACCATACTAGATAGGAGAAAACCCTTGCCTCACTACTTGCCTAATATCAAACAGCCAGACTGACCCCGGCATGCACAGCATGACCTGTCATAAGCATGAGAAGCAATAGTGTTGTTTTAATAAGCAAGATACATGGTGCTGTTGAGAGGGACACCGGCAGGATCAGATTTTCAATACTTGATGGGGCTGGAAACAAAGAAATCTGGCTGAATATGGAATCTGAAACGAGACTAAAAATCCTTAGCTTGGAACCAGTTTCTCTTCGGAAGAGCATTTTTCTCACTAATTGTGATGAGTTGCGTAAGGATGACAAACAAATGTGGATGTGGTAGGACGTGTAGGTGATCTGCAGGATTTTCTGTTTGCAGATAAAAGCTTTAAGAATCACTGATGTTGAGCACTGAGGTACCAACCCTCTGAGTGTTGCTAAATATATCAAACGCCCTTGTACACATTCTTTCAAATTGTCCTGATGAATGCATGATGAAAAGCTTCGACGAAACATCTTCTCAACAAGACTCAAAAGTACTGTTACTAGATCTTGTGAAATTCAAGTTGTTTGCACTTAAATTAAAATTGCTAGATAAGCGTTTTGTACTGATTCCACTTTCCTAATGGAATGTATAAACATAAGTCATTGTGCTTATGTATAAGCATATTCAGTGCAAGCTAATAGATATTTCAGATTCCTATTATGACCGAGGAACTGTTAAAGTTGTGGCTTATTGCAGTTATATTCTTTATGCTGAGACTCCAGATGGGAAGGAAGCAGGATCCTCGACAGTCTGGGTTGCATGTCTTGGGGTTTGTACCATCTGTTTTCCGTCCCTCTCACTTTGTTATGCACATGAGAAGGACTGGTGCTTTCATTCCTGCAGAGAACAGCGTCAAGGGGAGCTCTAGTACGTGCGGTGTCTTCATTTGACAAATTCTGGCTCTGTCCTAAAATAAATGAAAGACAGATGGCAAAGTGTATAACTCACATCCTGACAGACTAATGTGACCCGTTGTCTGCTGGTCTTAAATATAGTGTTATACATTCTAAAAGCTTTAAAAGGTTGATTGAGAAAAATATTCTATTTTCCCTCTTAACTGAAAGCCATTTTCAGCTTTTACCATGAATGTATTGTTTCCAGCCTGCTTTCCAATTTCACTTCACTTCACTTCATGTCAATGTACTAAAAGCTGCTCTTTTGTGTCGTTTTGTAACGAACTTAAATTCTCCAGAAATTTGCTGATAACTTTGGTAAGTGCTGAAATTGTTTACTTCAATGATCAAGTCACCTTGATACAAAAATTTTTGTTCAGTACCAACAGCCAATCAGTATAAAAATGACACAACTTGGATATATTTCAATAAATGCAGTATTTCTCAATAACTGTATCTGCTCTGCTCCACGTGACAAGACGAATGTAAATGTTCCATCAATATTACAGAATTATTCTAGATTTTATGGTAAAATAAGGAAAGCAAACTTTCCCACTTTCCTCCGTCCTCTAGCAGGCCTTTCTGAGGCTGCTATTTACACTTCAATAAACCCATAAACACTGTGGACAATATCCTTGTTTTACCTAGTCTGTCAAGCAATGGCTTAATTTTAAAATTTTGATCCCTGTTTTCAAACCTGACAATAATGTTATCCCTCTACAGTTCAGTAAATTTTCAACTCCTCATTCCTCTGAGATACCTGCAGTCTTCTAATTCTTGCCTACAGAATATTTTGCTTCCTCCAATATTAGTGCTAGGTCACCAACTACAAAGGCAGTAAGGTCTGGAATCCCATCTCTGAACCCCTCCATCTTTCTTTCTTCCTTTAAGGTATTCCCTAGAACCTACCTTTGTTTTTAATCCCCTGTAGGTAAGGATTGAACTCATGGCCTCTATATTTCATACACATTTAGATATTTAAAATCAACCTGTTCAGACATATGCGATCTGGAGCAATTGGACTTGAACTCAAGTTTCCTGGCCCAGAGGTAGGGACACTACCACCGTGTCACAAAAGATCCCCAAGAACCTACCTCTTTGACTAAGCTTTGACTGTGCCTTTATGTTACTTTACAAAACTTTTTTGCATTGCTTAATAATGATCCATTGATCTGCTTTGGGACCTATGCTTATTTAACATGTTTAATTATGAAAAAAGTTATTGGGTTTTTTTGACTTGTTCTGGTGTTACGCTCCAATGTGAAGTACGGGGAGGAATGTTCTCTGGATATTTTCTAATTAACCTGTTCAGAGATGCTATTACACACTTCTGGAGCAGAACCTGAACCCAGGCTTCCTGGCCTAGAGGTAGGGACATTGCCACTATGCCACAAGAGCCCCCAAGAAAATGACCTCTTTGACTAAGCTTTTGACCATCTCCCTCAATGAGACCATGTTTTGTGTTGTTTTACAATGCTCTGCTGAAGTGGGGTGGGATCTATACTTTTTATCATATTTAAACATGAAAAAGGTATTGTTTTTTGACTTGCTGTAGTGTTACACCCCAATATGAGGTGGGCCAAAGAACGTTTTGTGCAAAATAAAAACCAAAAGAACTGAGGATGCTGTAAATCAGAAATAAAAACAGAAGTTGCTGGAAAAGCTTAGCAGGTCTGGCAGCATCTGTGAAGAAAAATCAGTTAACATTTCGGGCCTGGTGATCCTTCGTCAGAACTAATGTTTTGTGCACTCAGGATGGTGAATAGCAACACCTGACAATAGACCCACCTCCTAAATGTTAGATCTAAATTGAGCAGTAACCAAGGCTTTGAAACTTTGAAACAGCAATAGAGAAGGAAAGTGGGTGTGGAAGTGAGGAACAATCAGTAGCTGGTAACTCTAATATTAATAGGCCTGAGATGGACTGTTGTATGACAAACCCCAACAATGCTAGTTGCTAGAAGACTTTACGTGAGTATATTCTCTAGTGGCGCACACAATAATTAAAACTGTTTGTATTTTAAAAATTCAAGAGTATATAAATAGTCATTTGGTCATACAAAACATGATCATTTCTGAAAAAAAAGACTATTTTATTTTGTCTTGCACTTGATCAGACAGGTCACGGTGTTGCCATAGAAAATGCACCAATTAATGACAGCTGACAGTTAATTGCTAAATTTAAAAAAAAACAAGGCAGGTTGACCCTGGTTAAGGATTTTCTTGAGAAATGAACCAGAATACCTGCCACCTATTTTGTTGATTTGAAACCGATGAAGTGTGTGTACAACAAATTTCTCCTTGCAGAGAACAGGGCCTCGAGTACTAATATATGTAACTTATGGTTTATGTAAGTTCGAGACCACTGACAATCCTAAATTGGTTGTCAACATATTTCTTCTCACACTCCAGTCAAATAACATTCCAGCTAAAATCTCCTCTCATAATGCCCTAAAAATTTGAACCCCATCTCTTGTGTTATGCTGTAGCCCTGTATTGATCCATCCTATCTTCCTGTTCCTACTCTTACTAGCACATGTCACTGGCAGTAATCCAGCAATTACTAGCTTTGGGGTCCTAATTTTTAACTTCCAATCTAGGATCTGAAAGTCTGAGTGTAGATCCTTGCTACCTGTTCCTTTGCTACCGACATGTTGTACAACTTCTAGCTCACTCCTTTCTTCCTGCAGAATTTTCTATACCCTCTTCATGATATTCTTTATTCTGGCATCGGAAAAGCAACACACCATGCTGCAGTTGGCTTAACTATGACAGCTACATTTCTAATCTTTGCAGTTATTTTCTGTTGAATCCCTGGATTATAGCTTGTGTGGTTTGATCTGCACTCCTTCAAAGTGTCATCATTCCCTGTCAGCAGTCTCCAATACTGAGAACCCGTCTGAAATGTGGCATATGCCTGTAATGCCTGTCTCTTCCTGAGCTTGCTTATTATGTTTTTGGAATTATAAAATCAGCCAAAACCTTGGATGCAGATGTAAAGTAGAAAATTAAGCAGAAGGAAAAGCAAGGAAAGCAGTACTATAAAGAGGAAACTGCAGAATGTCGTTTTTGAGTAAATAGCCATCTGTATTATGTTGGTTTTCAAAAGAAGAACCACTTGCGTAGCACCCCTCAACTCTTCACTGACACCTTCAAGACTGCTTACTTGGTATCATTATATAGGTCCTGCCTGTCCTGATTTATTTACACCATGTTCTCTTGATCTGTGAACAATGTCACTGGATCCACTGTTTTCCATCGATGAACTTTAGCATAATTATCACAAGGGGAAGAAACAAGTGGTACGGAAATCTTTTAGAGTAAATTTTTGATAATTCATTGACAACATGGTATTCATAATGTGGTGAATGTTAATAGAAAATTCTTTTCTGTCCTTGCAGGAACATTCCGATGCACCTTCTGTCACACTGAGGTGGAAGAGGATGAATCTGCATTACCAAAGAAGGATGCCAGAACACTGTTGGCAAGATTTAATGAACAGATTGAACCAATCTATGCTCTATTGCGAGAAACTGAAGATGTTAATTTGGCTTATGAAATCCTGGAGCCAGAACCAACAGAAATTCCATCGCTTAGGGCAAGGTTAGCTTGTGATTTTAATTTTTCTTTATATCTTTATCATAACAAAGTAAAACAAGATCTGCAAAACTTGTAAAAGTTGAACTTTGAGCAGCTTTTACTTATGAATTACTTTTGACTTATCTCCCCAGATAATCAGAATTTCCAGTATAAATCTGAATACATTCATAGCATAGCATATGAATACCTTTAGGTTAAAAATGGGCAAGTAATTCAGCTGGAACAGTGTGTATATAAGATTTACTTTAGTGGCTACCATCATCATCCTGTTCTAGTATTTCTGCTTAAATAGTATTATAATTTCTTATTTGAATGTTTGATATGTTTGTGAGCCCTAGGTGGAAACCTTTTTTAAATAGAATCTTGTGCGTGATCACTTTAATTTGGTTACTTCTGGGTTAAAATTCCATTTCAGGGTTTACACACACCAATGCTAAAATTCCAGTGCAGTACTGAGGTAGTGCTGCATTACTAGGAGCGCCATCTTTCAGATAGTGTTAAACTGAGGCCTCATTAGTCTGTTCTGGTGTAAAAGATCCCATGGCATTATTTCAAATAAGAGCATGGGAGTTATCCCTGGTGTCCTGATCCATTATTTATTCAAAAGCATATTAGCTGCTCATTAACACGTAGCTGTTTGTGGGAATTTGCTGTGTGCAAATGACTGAAGAAATGCTTACAAACTTGATCACTGTTTAAAAGTACTTCATTGGCTGTAAACCATTTGAGATCTCCGGTGGTCATGAAAAGTACAATAGAAATGCAAGCGTTTCTTTCTTTCTTTAATTACATAGGTTGATATGTTGTATCTAATCATTCCATGGCACCTAGTTATGTAAGTAGTGTGTCTTTGACTTCTTATCTGTCATGTATCAGAAGTTAAAAAAGGAGACCATTTGGCCCATCAGATCTAGTCTGGATTTTATCCTTTGCACAGACACTTTTGCTTCAGTTCATAGGTGGTGCAGCCAAATCTGTCAGAGTACAGTGTAGAACCTATTACAATACTCCTAAGTACTCCCTTCCGGCTGACACTGAGTGTACCATATGCAGCTGTTCAAGAAAGTGGCTTACTACCACCTTCTCAAGAGACATTAGGGAAATGCTGGCCATGCCAGTGATACACACATTTCCATAAAAGAATTGAATTGAAAATTAGGATTTTTAACAGTTCAATATGAAGTAGTTAGGAGTTCTATTTCACTTAATTTTGCTTTTGCTAATGATCACATTTCTTCTATTTCAACTTGAAGAACATCTACCTTACAACTTCCCTTCATTTTTTAATAAAAATCATCTTTCTGTTGATTTGATTTTGCTAATTTAATTTTGGAGAATAATCTTATTTGCTTTCTTCAATCTGTCCAGCATTTTCATCCCTTTGTCATCTTCTCCAAAGTTGTCCAACCAAAACTTTATGGAAGTTCCGTACAATCTTTTATTTTGGATATCTACTCATTGTAAAATTTTGAATGTTTCATAAACCTGAAGCCAAATAGGTTCCTGGTATGTAATGTTATATCTTGATATGCCTTTAGTATCTTCTGTTACTGAATTTTCAGCAGTCTTTTCCATTTCACAGTTTTAAATGTTATCTATTTTCATCACCAATTCTATGTACTGTTTTATCTTTATTCATTCATGGGATGAGGGCGTCGCTGGCTAGGCAACATTTATTGCCCACCCCTAATTGCCCAGATGGCAGTTAAGAGTCAATCACATTGCTGTGGATCTGGAGTCACATCTAGGCCAGACTCGTTAAGGAAGGCAGTTTCCTTCCCTAAAGGACATCAGTGAACCAGATGGGTTTTTCCGACAATCGACAATGGGTTCACGATCATCATTAGATTCTTAATTACAGATATTACAGATATGCCATGGTGGGTTTTAAGTCCGGGTCCCTTGATCGTTATCTTGTTCTCTGGATTAACAGTCCAGCGATAATACCACTGGGCCATTGCCTCCCCAACATTTTAAATGGCCTTCATTTTATTTTTCCCTCTTTTGTATACTTCTAACGCTTTTCTTTATCAATGTATTTACACATTTCCCTGTTTCCCTATATATTCATAGGTTTCTCTTCTATGCGCTGCTTACTTATTGGCTTGACTTAATGAATAGCATACTTAACCCTGAATCCAAAAGCCATATGTTCACATATCACGTGAAGACTTGAACATGTAAAATGAATTATACTTCTTACCCTTCCTAAAATATTGTGGGAACTTCTCTTCCAGTTTGATTAGATAAGTGTAAGAATCCACAGTAATATTTAACTAAAACAGAACAAAAAAACTTCAGGTTTCATCTGATTTTTGGTATTTCAGTTGAACATATGTTGTATATGTTTTCAATATCAATTTTTATGTATGAAGTGCAACTGAAGCACATGTATTTCCCTTAACCTAATCAGAGTAAGGAAGTCAGAGCAGCATTATTATTCAAATCCAGATAAAAATAAATGCAACTTAAAAACGTTTTTATCAGTACATGATTGGACACAAAAAGTGAAAATGAATAGAAATCAGAAAATAGCCTATTTGTTGAAGGCATGCATTTTCAGCAGAAAATGTTCAAAATTCTAAATGTGGAGCCTCTTTTCTAGGCTGTATTTGTTCAACATGACACAATGAAGCTAGGCACAGGTACAGCAGAATAACATGTTTCTTGGTCAGTTTTTCATTCTTTGTTTATAATACTGGATTAAATTCATTCCCTTGGACTGTTTGTTGTATTTATAATTGCTAATGTTTACTGACTTCCTTTTCAGTCAACGGGCACTTGGTGCTGGCAGTGGAGCTACACACCTTCAAAAAGAATCATGGGCAAACAAAGGGCCTACGTATGAGGATCTCTACACTCAGAATGTCATCATTAACATGGAAGAACATGATGCTCAGCATAAAATTGTATCTGATGGAAAGCCTGCTAAAGAGAGACCAATCTGGATGAGGGAGAGCACTGTCCGAGGAAGCTTTAAAGATTTAGAAGAAGTGGAAGGTGAGATATCTGTTTGATTTTGTCTTTTGTTCTGGTTTGTGTGTAAGTTCATCAGAGTGAGTACTGACTGTACTGAAGCATGGAATTTGGCTTGTTTGTTTTAGCTGTTCAGTGTAAAGAGTGTAATTTGTTGCCCAATTCTTTAACTTTCTGTATTAGTTTTTAAAAATATTTTTCAAAAGGTGTACAAGTTATTTGAAGCTAAGGGTTTTGTGTTACAAAAGTGGGTGAATCAATGGATAAAATGTAATGGCCTGGAAAATGACATTCCAAAACTTATACTGTTTTCTGTTGTGATATCAACTGTAGCTCAGTGCTACAGAGGTTGAGAGTTCAAGGGCTCCTCTCAGATTTTGAGTTTGTAATTTAGGCTGATGCTCTAGTGTAGTGCTATGTCAGTGCTGCACTGTCAGAGTGCTGCCTTTCAAATAAGACTGCAAACTGAAAGCCCATTTGCCTTCTCCATGGCCATGAAAGATTGTGTGGCACTATTTTCAACATAAGGAAGATACTTTGTGGTAAGTAGCTGTTGCATTTCTTACATTATGACAGTTACGACTGAGTTAGGACGAGTGCTCTGTCTTCCTGTCTCTCTCTCTCTCTCTCTCTCTCTCTATCCCACTACTCTACAAGTCGCAGTGTATGTTTAATTGTTTTGCCTGGTTCCTGATATGACCAATCATGTGCTTTCTCTAGACTTAGAATGAAAAAGTCCGTCATCCAATTTGTTTAATAAATAAAAGGTTATCGATTTATCGTAAAACAAAACTTATTCCACTCAGATGCAAAACCGGTTAACACACTTAATTTGTAATAGGAAAATATGAACCACTTCACTTGTACAAAGCACTTTAGTCCAATAAATCTTAGTTCTTGGATGCAAGAAGTATAAAGTTTGAGATGTTTAGATGGCTGTCAGTGTGACATTCTCGTGTACAAAGACAAAGATATCGCTAAACACATACCGTTTTCTCTATGGATCTTTGTCAACTTTGTTCAAGAAGTAGAGATGAACACTTTGAGACTTTTCTTGCAAGAGCAGCTGGACCAGGACTCCAGTTACCATACTGAACCCACAGTGAATGTTCTTTATGGAAATAGGAGAGCTGAACTGGCAAGCTTTCTTTTAGCAGGCTTTTTTCCAGCTACTTCAAAAAATAGTCAAAGCAGAAACTGAGACCCAATAGTCAAAGTCCTAGGTATGTGGTTTTTAGTGAAAAATAAAATCAGCCAGCACAAGAAAAGTGACTATCAAAAATGTCTTAATAAAAAAAGTTCCAATATTGACCACTTCTGTTAAAAAAAAATCAAAGTATCTCAATCCTTCAAATTTAAGTCCACAAAAGTAATAAGTAAGACAACAGTGCCTTTTTGAAAGCATTTCGGGGCTTCATGAAACAAAACTTCCACTTCTTTATACCATCTCTTTCATAACCTCCAGTGTCCCAAAACATTTTATAGCCTATGAAATGCAGTCACTGTAGTATGTAGGAGACATGAAAACCAATTTGTGCACACCAAGCTGTCACAAACTGCAATATGTTATTGGCCAAATAAACTGTTTTAGTTTTATCAACAAAAGAATAAATTTTGGGCAGGATACTCCGAGAAACTCTCCTCGTTTAAAATAGCCCTGGATCTTTTGCATACATCTAAGGGGTTTAAAACTTCATTTGTAATACATATCTCCAATAGCACAGCACTCCCACAGTACTGTACTGGAGTGTCCACTTAAATTTTTGTGCTCAAGTCTTTTGAAGTGAGACATGATCCCCTAATTTTGACTCTGAGGTGAGAATGCTATCAACTGAACCGTAGCTGGCACTGAAGTTATGAAAGACAATGTATAATTGCAAACTTTTAAAAATTTTCCATTACAAGATTACTCCTGTAAAATAACGTGAATACAGCACAAGCATAATGTCAAATTATGTGCCTCACAGCTGGTGCAGTCAATGGCTTACCCAATCTCCATCAAACCCAACATTAACCACTTAGAAAAAACAAGAGCAGATATGTGATAACACCACTAGCTGCAAGTTCTCCACACCATCCTGACTTCAAAAAATTTTAATACAATGCTGAATGTGGTTGATGATAGGGTGGCAGCATCAGCACTGTTGGATTAAACCTAGATGGTGTGGCTGTGTTTGTCATAAGGGGAGTAGCACAGCAGGCCAAAGCCTTTGATGTGACAGACTGCTTCTACATTTTCTATATGGGTCTTTTGTAAGCCACTGATGATGGAGTATGGGTGCTAAGACATCCAATGAGCCTGTTCGTGGTTGATAGGCTGTCAATATTGAGCAACTCTTTGCCTTTATGGTAATTTAATGTTGAGACTGGTGATTCAGGGGTGACTGGGATTCCACAAAAGAGTTATTCCAGAGTCTTTTAATTTTTTTTGGAATTTCGTCTTTTGGTACATACGAACAGACTCAGGAACATACAAGTCGTGAGCAGCAGCTGTCCATTCAGCTGCTCAGTCCTGTTCTGTCATTTAGTAATCTGATAATAAATTCAAATCTGCACTTCCATCTACCCCTGATAACCTTTCTCCCCCTAAGATCACTTACTTTCCGTGGGGCACTGATGGAGAGTGCAGCATGAATGCTGACCTAATGTCCCCTCTGTTGCAAACATCACTCCCTTACACATCCATCAACTGAAGAAAGCCCACAGGCTGGTGAAAGCTATTCACGATGTACCTCACTAACCATTCTATGATGACCTGTTCAATCCACCTACTCCTACCTACCATCTCAGCACTCCATGGGGAGCAACCTTCCTGAACAAGTTCTGCCAGCACATGTCCTTTGGATCAAGGAATGGCAAAGTCATAAAGTCACTACCATCTTTCTTCTGACAAACCCCACTTGTCAAATAACAGGTTTGAATTACCACAGCGTAGTGGTCCTTGCTAAATGGGTTCAGGACAAGCCAAGGCCCCTGTGCAGCCAACCTCAACCACTGCAACATCAGTTCAAACCCATTTTCCCCTTTTGTAGAGACACAAACAATGCTGCACATTACTAAGAGATAGTAGGAACTGCAGATGCTGGAGAATCCGAGACAACAAGGTGCAGGGCTGGATGAACACAGCAGGCCAAGCAGCATCATAGGAGCAGAGAGGCTGACGTTTCGGGCCTAGACCCTTCATCAGAAAAGGGCAGACTCATCACTTTGCACTCAGCAAATGATGAGGCTATTGTTTAGCTCTGAAAATTTGCTGTTGCTGATTAAATGAATTATGCTGAATGTCATCAGTTTGCCCAAATGCTTTTAAAATTACAGCCACAGATAGTTGCTGTCTTCAAAAGCGTCCTAAATCCATGGTTCCAGACGTGTGTAATAGCATCTCTGAACAGGCTGATTTGAAAATGGCTAGATTAAGCAGGGGAAAAAGGGTCTTGTGGCAGAACAGTCATGTCCCTTCCTCTGGGCCCAAGTCTCTCATGCTCCACCAGTGCATCATAACATGTCTAAACAGATTAATTAGAAAATATGCTTAAAATAAGGGGAAGAGTGCAATTCTTCTTATATAGAGAGATAATTTAATTTCTATTGATTACCTTCTGTTGATTTTTGTCAACTTTATTTTTATCATTGACACTAGTGTGGCTTTTTTTTTTCCCTCTGTTATCTCACTGCTCTGATATAGCAGTGTGTTGGTGAGAATGTGAGCATCTTGGAGTGGCTCATTGACTTTAATAGACCAGCACTTTGGACCAGTCTGGGAGAGACTAAGCCAGAACTGTCTAAATGAGGAAGAAAAGACTGCCAGCTGATTAATGCTATGTATTTGCTTTGTGATTATCTTTAAAGTTTATAAGCAGCTGTAATCATGCTATTCATATTCAGACTGTTGCTATAGGCATAAATGAACTTCTTTGGAAATCCATTTTTAAAAGCATTTCTTCACTGCTATGTGTATTGTAGGTAATAATGATGTTGACTCATACCATGATCGTGAGGGGAAAGGGAATCCAATGGAAGCAAATGAAGAAGTCATGCAAACCCTGCTTATCCATGAAAAGAAGAGTACATCTGCAACTGTGGCTGCAGCTGCTGCAATCCCAACTTCAAATGCTAGTGATTCAGAAAGTGATACTAGTGAATCCGAGGATGAATCACCTCGGCCACAGGCACCTGCAGCGTCATTCCCAGCAGCAGCAGCAGCAGAAGATGATGAAGAGTTTGAAGAAGTGGAGGATGAGCCAATTGTGATGGTAGCAGGTCAGCCATATTCGTACAGCCAGGTCAGCCAATGCGTTGAGCTAGTGACACAGATGACTGCTGAAGAGAAGGAAGCATATATTGCCATGGGGCAAAGAATGTTCCAGGAGATGTATGACTGACCATTGTCACAATACAATAACATTTTAAAAATCACAATCGTAGATTTTCTAAGGTTTTACTAGTCAGTGTTTCCACAATTTTAATTGTCTCTGCCAAATTGTTAAGAGATAGCATTGCTTTCTAAACAAAATTACAGGCTGGATTTTAGAAGTATTTCAAATCATAAGTATTATTTTTAAGAGATTAAAAGGATGCAGTGCTCGATTAATTTTAAAGCTGTGTACTTCACAGGATTCTTATTTTTATCGCATTGTTCCCTCCTGTCTAGGTGACACTTAAATTCATGAAACACCCTTTGAGCCAGTATAGTTGAATGAGGCAGTGATGCATCCTGTTCAACTAAGAAAAAATGTTTTGCTGCATAGTGTCTTGGCCCTTGCCAAGTAGAAATATGACCCCCTTGTGCTCCATTAAGCCTTGTGGATAATTACCGATAAAACTTGCCCATCTGTGACAACGGGCAAATTTTTAAGTGTTGAACAGCAATGGGATTCAAGCTTGGAAGCTGTTGGTTAGAAGTTAGTAGCTTATTCACTTGAACTACCAAATTCAGCAGTAAATCATAAAATCAACAAAATGTTTGTCCCATGGTACAAAATTTGTTTTTGGTTCTTTTTAAAGAATACTTTGTTTTAACATTTGCAATAAGCAAGACTGAGAGCAGACAGACTTGTTAAAACTGGGTGAGCTATGTCACTGCAGAGGAACTGTAAATTAATTGTATTTCTCATATTTGCAGGTAAAGCGAATGTTGATTGAACTTGTTAAAATATTTCATTAAATATTATCAATCTAGTTGCTCCTGTGGTTCAGCACCCCCTGCCATGCAGAACAGAAATGTTCCAGATTAAATTTTCAACTGTTATTGAGTTTGTTGATCTTAGCTGGAACAGTAGATAAGATGTCTAATTAGCTGGGGCTCTGCAGCTAAATTATCTGAAAATCAGCTAAAGCTTCTGCTTCTGATCCTGACTCAGCTGTCTCTACTGAAAGTGCATACGTCTGGACGACAGGTGAGGATTAGGACCAGTTGAAATGTCCTCTGTAGTCAGACAGCTGCTAGTGTTCAGTGTCAAGGTGTGGATACTTAGTGATGCTTGTTAGCTTGGAATTTTACCACTGGAAGTTATTACCTTCAGGAAAGAAGGGGAGAAGAATTAATCACATGATTTTGTTTGAATCTAAGCAAAATGAGTAGCTTTTATTTGAAATGAAAATATTATAGAGTAATGCAGTTTTAAAATCAGCTGGACAAGTGCCAAACCATTGTGACTCTGTCATAAGTATCAGGGACAAAGCTTAAATTCTTAGACTGTGTGAAAGTGGTCTTCAAATGTGTTTTGCTTTCTCAAGCTCCAGCGGCAGAACTTTGTTTCATGTTTCAAAATAGTTCAGTCGAGTTTTATTCTCTTGGTACCTATGCAGCAGGTGATTAGTGTAAAGTTAATTTTTAAAAGTTTTAACAGATTGAAATACTGTACTCTAAATTGAAAATGCTAGAAATACTCAGATCAGGCAGCATCTTTGGAGAAAAAAAAATAAATCTGGCACATTTACTTGTTTTTCACTTGCTGTCTAATCAAATGAGCATTACCAGCATTTTGTACATTAATTTCAGATTTCCAACATCTGCAGTATTTTACTATTGTTTTAGCTATTTTAATTTATCTGTTACGGAAAAAGAAATGTACGCCTTAACCTTCTTTTGTGTGTTCCATCATGTTTTCACTTACATCAGAGTCAATGTAATCTAAGTCTTTATGTAACTCATTACAGCCCATAGCAACATGCACCATCTTACTGGGGAATCTTTTTGAATATCAGACAAATATTGTAATTGTGGATCTGCAGTTTAGTTTTGCAGCCAGGTTAATATGACAGCCTATAAAAAGTGAAAGGAAATCTCGTCCGCTGTTAATCTTTCCATCTCCTGAAATCTACACTGGTTGGGTGAAACGCATAGAGGGTCATGGAAATATACATAATGGAAAACTAGAACATGTATTTGCCAAGTCATAACTGTTTAATTAATGTTAAAAAAGCTCTTCCAACAGGGAAGAGATGACGTATTATAGAGTATTGTCACATCATGCAATGTATTTTTATTACTGTTCATCAGTCCAGTGAATACTTGAGATAGATTACAAGGCTGTAATCTAATTCAGAAGATTCAGGTTAAAACTAAACTGGGAGAGATCCCGGACTAGTGATGTAATCTGAATCCTGGAAACACGTCTTCAAATTAGCACCTTACTGACTGTTTGTTTGTTTTTGTATCATCTATTCTAAACAAGTTAATTTCTATGTGAAACTAGGTCATTTTCTGAAGCTGGTAATGCGTTTTGTCTTATGATGCATGATAATCATAAAAAGGCACTGATGCCACTTCTACCAGTTTCTAAGAAACTCTTGGTGGATTGCAAGGAAGCATTCTTTTCTGATCTTATAAATAGTTATGCCTGTGTAGTGAACTGTATGTTGCTCTTTTCATGCATGAACCAGCCACTGTTAAGTGCTGTTAGCAAAGCAATATTTATTGTATGGGTGTCTAAACTTAGTGATTTGCAGACAACTATTATTGTTTCCATTTGTCATAAATATTAGATGTGAAGGGTAATATTCAGCCTATCCCTTTTAATTCAATGGTTAAGTCAAATTCTTCAATGATTAAATTTCTTTTGCAATAAATAACAATTTTGTATCATATATATGTATTTAATTGGATATTACTGAATTGTTCATTCTTTCACACAAAATTTTCTTTCAAGTTAGTTTTCCACTGTTGCCATCCATGGAATAAATCAGTTCCATTGCTATTTTTCTATGATTCTTTCACTAGTGTACAGAAGTACCAAATAGTCCATTGGTGCTATTCTAATATCAACATATTGTGAGCTTAATGCCGAAAGGGAATAAAAACTGCATGGAATTATTTAACAATTGCTGATTATTCAATTAACTGATCAATGCCTCTGATCTATATTTTTGAGGGGAAGAAATCTAGACCAGGCAAGAATTAAGAATCCAGGCAAGTCTGATGGGCACTGGAAATTTTGAGTCTACTGGAGTATGTAGATTACCTACTAGCAGCATCCAGTGGCAGACATCAAGTACTGCAGTGACAAAGTACATTGCTGCTCTTCACTGCAGTTGTGGGTTTTACACAAATTGAATACATGTCACAAAGTCAATTGAAATTTTTTTTATGCAGCTAAATTGAATGCCTTAGTCTCATTCCAATAAAAATTGGCCCTAATACTGTGCATGCAGAATACAATTTTAGATTGTACCATATTATCAAATGAATAAATGTAAGCAGCTAGTTTTAAGATCATAAAAGCAGATTTCTGTCTTCCTTCCTGATAGAAAAAATGAAATGTAACACTCAGTCCACATCACTGGAAATGCATTCTGACAAAAAATTGTTGGAAATACTCAACAGGACTGGCTGCATCTCTGAAGAATGAAACAGAATTATGGTTTCAGATTTTCTCAAACATGACTTCTCTATTTTTTTCAAACAGCACTATAGAATGAAACTGAATCAATTTCAGTTGTGCTTACTCTTGTGCTTAAACATGATTTACCATTATAGATGTACATGGATCCAAGAGAATTGAAAACTTATTTGGACTATTGGGTGTGTAGTTTCTTCTTAATGTGCAAGCCAGAAGACTTGTCCTGCTATATAACTCCTCCATGTACAAAATCATTGTTTACAACTGTACTAGATTATCGGGGAAAGGATACATACTAAAACATTGTACATTCTCAGGCAGGAAATAAATAAAGGACCCATTTGAAAAAGATCTGGGGAAAAGAGACTACTTCCTAACTTCACCTCATGTCCAAAATCATTAATAAATTGTAACTCAGTTTAATGTTAATGTCATCAGAACTGGTAAATTATTCACACTTAAAAATGAAATTGTGCTATTTAAGAAAATATCCTTTTAGAACCAAAACCATAACCAGTGTATTTTACTTGGTGCTTTTTATTCAGTTTTATTTGTTTTTATTTGGAAATAAATGTTTTGCATTATGTTAATTGTGTCAGTTGTTATTTTGGATAAAATCTCATTTCAACTGTCCTTATATTTTGCTGAATTATAACAGTTCACAAGTAAAACAAAAAGAGTTTTGACAAATTTGATAATCTACAAGCAGAAATAGAGGTATGTACATCTTATATGAAGAGGGAGAATCTTACAGCCAAAGTAACAGTATAATAAATGTTTATATGAACACATTTGGTAAAAGGAACTTTTTAAAGGGACTTGCTTTCTTGAAAATGAACATAGTGAGATTATTATAGGAGAAAAGGAAACAGCAGTATAATAAAGTGCTAGAGAAACTCAGCATGGTCTGGCAACATCATCTGTGGAAAGAGAAATACCACAAACATTTCAAACCCAGTGACTCTTCTTTGGAAATAGCAGAGTTTATTTAACAATGCACAAATGGGAATTGCTGGAGAAACTCAGCAGCTCTGGCAGCATCTGTGGAGCAAAAGCAAATACTTAGACTCTGTACTGAAAAACGCAAGATAGAAATCTTGAGCGACTTCTGGAAGAGAAAGAAGGAACTCGACTAATAAAAACCTTACTGAGCAAACTATTAATGGTCAGGTAACTGAAATGATCAGGATCAAGTGAGATGCAGTTCAACAACTGAAGACTGTTCGAGACAAATTAGCAAGAGATTAACTGTGATTTTGCCGACTGGGGTTACTGGCACAACAGACAAGGAACAACAGATCACCTTTGGTGTCCCCTGAAAATGTAACACTTTCCAAATTAAATTATTGAGTTAGTTTCAATTCAAAAGATTTTAGACTGTAAACCTTGTCTGAATTTTGGATACAGCATTTAGTGAATATAATAGGCCACGATTTGCTGTCAAAATAATAATGAGGCTAAAGGGACAAATGTCGACTTAAATTCAAATATCTAAAAGTATCTGACCAAGACGCACAACTTAACCATCAGCTTCACAAAAATGGCATCTCACTATCTGTCTTCCATCACTGTGCATCAAAAATTTGATGTTGCTACGTTGCACCATCAATATGAGCTAAACTCAACATTGAAAATAATATTTTATATTTCAGTTGAAGGACCATTTTAACAATGTAATCATGTTAATTACTGCACTTTCAACAATTTGCTATGCAGACAGTTGTATAATCCAAACACAGAAAAGCAAGTACAGTTGGTGGCAGATGTTGTTCGATGATCTGCTGCGGCAAATTATGGCGAGATCCCTCTTTTTATTGTCACCTGAATCCTCATCACAGACCACTTAACACTTACAATTCTAACAAAGTCCCTTTTGGTGTATTCCAAGGTTTTGTTTATAATTTTCATTATTGTTTAATACATTTATGCTGTTGAATGCAAAGAAACTTTTCAGAATGGTAAAATTTCCATTTAGCAATCTTTGAGTTCAGTAGTTTCTTGGCAGCAGATCTCCCATGCTAGAGAGAAATAACCCAAAGAATGCTAAGTTATTCTTTGATAAAAATTCTCCGAGTGCAAAAGTTCCTTCAATTACTGACTTTGCAGTTTGATGTTGCTATTCGATTAGATTAATTGCACTACATTTATTCCCTTTATTATTTCAAATATACTTGTCAATTCTCATCTCTAACCTATTTTTAGGGTGAACATTTTACTTTGAATTTCTAAATTTATCTATCGATCTGTTTTACATGGTTCTGAAGACAACTTTCCAATGACATTGGAGCATGGTGTGATCTGTTTTCAGTTTTTTTTTTAAATCTTTTGTGATTGAATTCTCATGTAACGTTGAATCTGTTGTAAAATAGAGGAGAGTTACAGGCTGTTTCTTTGGGTGTGAAATTTATTAATGGCTGGTTGGTTGAAAATTGACTGACCATTAAACACCAATTCATTCATTCTCGTTTGTTCCTCACTAGCCTTAATGATAAATGTGCTGTGGTATTAGAAATGGTATTAATATGCATCATTCCCATGGCAGATAATTGAGTATGCTGTTAGACAGTTTGGAGAGAATTTGGTATAATTATGCGATTGCATCACATCTCACAAGGTGGCAGAGATAGAAAGATGCTTGATGGTCTGTGGTGTGAGAAGATGAATAGAAGATTGAGATAAAGCGGAAGATTGTTAACAAGTGAGGAGAAGGCCCTTTGCCATACAGTACAGTAATGACTGATCTGAATGTGGCCTTTAGTGTTTTTGTTTGCACCTCCTTGTCTAATAAAATACTGTACAAAGTGGCCTTGAAAACATTCAATGACTTAGTCTCCACTGCACTCTGAGGTAGAGAATTCGTAAAATTGAATCGAAAAAAAACTTCCTCATTTCAGTCTTAAATAGGAGACCCATCATTTTGAAACCGTGTCCCATTGTTCTTGATTCCTCCAACAGAGGAATAACATCACCTCTCATTCTTCTAAACTCCAATCTGTATAGACCAACCTGTTTAACCTTACCTCATAAAAAGAAAGCACTTCATCCCAGGAATCTATCCAGTGAGTCTTTTCTGGATTACTGTCAATGCAACTAAGTCCTCGTTTAAGTAGGTGCCCAAAGCTGTCAATAGTACTCTGGATGTGGTCTCACTAATGTTTAGTTCAGTTATAGCAATATTTCTCTAACCTTATACTCCACACCACCTTACTACATAAGCCATCATTCTGTTTGCCTTATTAATTATTCACTGTATCAGCATGGTGCAAGCACTGCCAGATCTGTCTGTGTGATGGTGTTCTGTAGTCTTTCTCCATTTATATATGCTGTCAAAATGGACAGCCTCACATTTTCCCACATTAGTCTAAATCTGCCAAATTTTACTCACTGATTAACTATATCCCTTTGCAGACTTTTAGTATGCTGGCATTGTGCTGCCTATCTTAGTCCCTGCAGCACATTTGGCTACATGATGGCAGCATGACAATTGAGAGTTACAAATATTCCCATTGGCCATGCAGCTTAGAAAGAACATTGCCCAGCACTAATTGCTGTGACACTTCCGTAGTTATACAGTTTCCCAACCTGAAAGTTACTTTTTCCAACTTTCTGTTTCCTGTGATTTTACCAAACCTCTGTCCATATAAGTGTTTCACTCCAACACTAACACTTGCTTTTGTTAAGATGGATAAATTCTACATTGGAGAAACAAAATCTACAAATTCTGTCAGCCTGATATCTGAATTAACTCAAATGGTGGCATGTGGTCAGGCCTGCTAAAGATGATCAGGGTTTCACTCTCACTGATTGAAATTGCTTGGACCTTCTGCTCCACTGCTTTAACTTTGGCAGAAACCCTGCTTATTTACAAAAGCAAGCCTTCACTGAAGTTTTGAGAGAACAGTGGGAAAATGCCCAAGAAAATAACCTCCCTCCCTGACCCACATCTCAGTAAAATAACCAAAGTCCAGAAATCAGAGCAATGACAATAATCGACTACTTAAAATGGATGAAACTATGCAGGCCTTGGAAGAAAGTTATAATTTATTATTGTAGCAGGACTAGTAACTGAAAAGCTAAGGGTGAGGTGAATGACAATGAAACAAAACTGTTTCAGGAATGAAAAACATCAGTTATGAGGGTAAATTTCAGGGGAGGCAGTCATACAGTCATTGGACTAATAACCCAGAATCCTTGGTTAATGTTCTGAGGACATAGATTTGAATCCCACCATGGCAGAGAGTGAAATTTGAATTTAATAAAAATCTGGAATGAAAAAATTCATCTACTGGTGACCTAGAAAACACTTGTTTGTTGTTTAAAAACCCATCTGGTTCACTAATATCTTTTAAGGAAGGACATCAGCTATTCTTACCTGGGCTGGTCTACTTGTGACTCCAGACCCACAGCTATGTGGTTGACTCCACCCTTTTGGCAATTAGGGATGGGTGATAAATACTGGCCATATTCCACATCCCATGAATGAATTTAAAAAGATTGAGAAGTTGGGACTGTTTTCCTTGGATAGAAGGCTAAGAGAAGGTTTGATAGAAATTTTCAAAATGATGAGGAGGCCGGACAGTGTAGATAGGGAGAAACTGTTCCCTTTCATGAATTAATTGATATTGTGAGGGCGCAGATCTATAGTAACTTGCGAAAGAACTTCTTTTTCACACAGAGAGTAGTTAGGATCTGGAGCATACTCCTGGAGTGCGGTGGAGGCAGCTTCAATCGAGGCATTCAAGAGGATATTGGATAATTATCTAAATAGAAATAGTATTCGGATTTATGGGGAAAAGGCAGGAGAATGGCATCAAGTCAGAACGCTCATTCAGAGGTGCATACACGTTGGACTGAATGGCCTCCTTCTGCGCCATAACAATTCTGTGATTCTGAGAATAAAGCAGTGTTTTAGTGAATAGCTCAAAGGGGAAAATGTGGGATTAATGATGGGATTTAGAAAATGTAGCAAAAATTAGGGTATTGTTGGGAATATGAGGAAGTAGTGTGAATTTGAAGGAGTATGGAAAGCAATGGGACTAAGGGATGATTTGAGACAAGACAGATGAGTCATTCATTTCCTCACAATCTGCTGTAGTCTTCAGTAGCATCTTTTCTGGCCACATCACGAAGGCAATCATCACCTTTCAGCTGAAAGAAAGAAGAAAAGGACAGAAAGATGCAAAAGATACCAATGAGCAGTTGACAAATTAATTGCTCAAAATATCAATAGAAATCTTGGCATTCCATGTTACAGCAACAGGATTTGATGTATTCAGTCACCATAATCAATAAATCATTTTGCATTTTGTGACATATCGCCTCATTTGCCCTATTATTATGTAACAGGGTGTCTGCTGACTCACCCTCAGCAATTATACGGAATTATATGTATTAAAATCCTTGAGTTAGTGATACTGTAACACCCCTGTAAATTTACATCAATGTGTGGTGCTCTACAGGAAAAGACTATTATTTTTACTTGGCATTGTTAACTCCCTCAGCTTTTGAGAACAACACAGAGGACACACTGTTTCCTTTGGTTAACTGTCAGCAAGGTCATGGGCAATTCACTAGTGAATACATG